CTGGATAGTCTGTCATCAACAGAAATTGATTTCTTACAATTCTGGAGACTAGGAAGTTCAAGATCAAGCAACCAGCATGGTCTCATTCTGGTGTGGGCCTACTTCCTGGTTCATAGATGGCCATTGTCTTATGTCCTTGTATGGTAGAAAGGGCTAGAGATCTCTTTGGGGTCTCTATAAGTTCACAAATCTCAGTCATGGTGGCTCTACCCTCATGACCTAACCACCTCCCAAAGGCCCCACCTCTTAATACCATCTAAGAATTAGGATATCAACCTATGAATCTTGAGGGGACACAAGCCTTCAGATCATAGCACTGGTTATTAGGGACATACAAATCAAAAACACAATGAAATACTGCTTCTCATCTATTAGGAAGGCTATTATAAAAAACAAATTAACAAGTGTTGTACGGGTAGATAAACTAGAACCCTTGTCCATTGCTGATAGGGATTAAGTAAAATGGTGCAGCTGCTATGGAAAACAGTATGGAAATTGCTCAAAAAATTAAACATGGAAATACCATATGATCCCCAGCAATCCCACTTCTGGGTACCTACTCAAAAGAAGTGAAAGCAGGGACTGGAACAGATATTTATACACCCATGCACTATTAGCAGTGCTATTCACGATAACTAAAAGGTGAAAGGAACCCAAATGTCCATCAATGGATGAATGCACAAAAACAATAGTATAAATATGCAATGGAGTATTATTCAGTCTTGAAAAGGGATAAGATTGTGACATTGTGACACATGTTACAACAGGGGTGAACCTTGAGGACATTATAGTAAGTAAAATAACCCAGCTAAAATAAGATGTATACTGTAGGATTCCTCTTGTGTGAGCTAGCTAGAGTAGTCAAATTAATAGAAACTGAAGGTAGAGTGGTGTTTCCCAGGGGCTGGGGGCAGAGGGAAATGGGAATTTGTTTAATGAATACAGAGTTCAATTTTGCATGATGAGAAAGTTCTGGAGATTGTACAATAATGTGAACTTAACATTACTTAACTGTGCATTTAAAAATGGTTAAGATGGTACATTTCATGTTCTGTGTATTTTACCACATTTTAAAAAATGTTTGTTTTTGAGAGAGAGAGAAAGAGAGCATGAGCATGGGAAGGGGGTGGGGCAGAGAGAGAAGACACAGAAAGAATCTGGAGCAGGCTCCCGGCTCTAAGCTGCCAGCACAGAGCTCAACATGGGACTTGAACTCACCAACGGTGACGTTACGACCTGAACCGAAGTCAGATGCTTAACCAACTGAGCTGCCCAGGTGGCCCTACCACAATTTTTTAAAAAAGACAATAATACTAAATCAAGAAGATCCAGTTTTTAAGCTTATTACGTATAGATGTAAATAGAGGACTATTGCCTTATAAAGGCTGGTGTGAACGTCAGACAGAACAGAGATGTTGCTAAAGAGGGCATAGAGCTGCCTTGTGTGAAACTGGACTTTAACTACCGTACTTCTCAAGTTCTGTGACTGCTTTTGGAGCCAGTCCTTCAGCTTAGGTCCCTGTGATACATTGACAATTGCTGTCCTACCGCCACAGGCCAGTGAGAAGCTGGGTCTCTCAGGCCTGGGGAGCCCAAATGCACAGAGGGTAGTGTTACATAACTCCTTCATTCTAACACTTTATAGCTTCCTATTCACTAGTGTTCAACCATAACAACTAACAATATTTATATATTTGTGTTTACAAAGCAGTTTCTCTAGAAGTTCTTGGGATGTTGAGAAATTTGCCTTTTTTCTTAATATTAAAGATAATTGTTTCCTTCTCATGTTTATAAGTCATTTAGCATTATCTTCACACTGCCCCAGTTTATTTTACCTTGGGTTTTTACAGAATTTGGTGGAAGCTATGAGAATTTAGAGTAAAATGAAAAGTGAAATCTCTCCACTGTGATTTATTTTTGCAGGACATTAAGGCAAGTTAGATGCCTCTTGGACTCCCTCTGAGAATGGTGGAAGACGCATCCAATTTGAGACGACTTTATAGGCAACTTCAGAAAGCCAAACCTGGAGTCCCAGCAGATGATAGGCATTTTTAAATATTAAGGAAATTGGCTCCAGTTTACTTGAGTGAAAAACATTAGGTAATCTACTTGAAGTACATGAAGTTGAGAACTCAAAGGACAAAAATCACTTAATGTAAAATCACAGGGTGTTTGGGGATCAGCACAGCTGATGTTTTCCAAGCATTCTGCTATTATTATTCTGTTTTTAAAAAACAAACCTGTTGAAAATAAATAAATAAGTAAATAAATACCCATTGGCTTAAATATAAGAGAAGCAGGAAAGGGTATGATCCTCATTACTTTGTAGTCACACCTTATAACCTACTACCTCTTCTACAACAATGAATGTATGAAGAATTGTTTGAAAAGCACCTTGACACTGAAAGGTGCTGACAAGCAGGTTACTGACAGGGAGGAAGAGAGACCAAAAACCATCATCAAAGATACCACTTTAAGTGATCATGAAAGCTCCAGATAAGGATGGCAACCGGTTTTTTTTTTTTTTTTTGTCTTATTCATTAAGAACTCAAAGAAAATTCTATTATATATTTATAGTAATGCCAGCTACCTTTTCCCTTTATTTTTAAAAATAGCTTTATATTTTTGTAATTTATATTTATACTGATGAAACATTTATATTACACAAATATTGCCAAGCATCAGAAACATAACACTTTAAAAAAAAAATACCAGCTGTAAAACCCAGACTTAACCTCTGCAGGTACATCCAATATTTATAAAAATGCTTTGTATAGTTTTTGAGTGTTGTCGCTGTCCCTATCCTTGTTCACCCCCTTGTGGCCATGCTGTGAAGAAGCCAAGGGCCAGGCAACTGAAAAGGAAGAGAGAAAAGCAAAGGGCCAGGATAATAAACTGATCACCTCACTTTAACAGCATTTTCCATAATTAAGGTAAGTAGGTCTGCCTGAAATCTATTTTGGTCAAGATATTGGCAGGAAATAGATGGAAGACTTGAAGGGGTTATTGTAAATGATCCCTTCATTAAACTTTCTTGCAAGTATGGGCAGAAGGGAAACCGAATAATAAGGTGTCCTCCATATACCTCCTATTGGCCAAACCCAACTGGAAGCTCCCAGCGGTCAAAGGAACCAAGTTTTTGCAATCCTTCAAGATCCAGCCTTCCAAGACACAAAGCAGAGTAGAGGGTTGAAAGAGGATCTGGCTGGGCAAACAGCAAGTCTGGTGCAAAATCTTTCTGAAATATTTCATTATAATTATAGTTTCTTTCATAAGGCAGGAGTCCAAAGGATACATTATGGAATAACTCTTGTATAGAGGTGAGTACCTGCGCTGTTCCTGTGGTCTACCTGGAAAACACCAGAGATCAAAGAATTTCACACTGCCAGAAAGCATTGTTTAGGTTTCTCTGCTCCATCTATGCTGTGGAAATATAAGCCTGGCATTTGAGGGGCTCAAATCTTTGGATTCTTTGATGGTAGAGTGACAGTAAGGTAGGGAAACAAAGAGAAAGGGGGATGCAGTGAGCTTAGTTGCTATTTGCGGCTGGTCCTCTTCCACTCTTTGCCCCCTGTAAAAAGGAAACTCCCCAGCTCCTACTTGAGGTATTAAGACCAACGCGGATTATCTATTGATCAAATTGAACGTGTCTAAGACACTAACAAAGCAGGATCACCAAAAGTATGTAAAAGAATTCTCAGAAAATCTGGGGATGAAGCTATTTTTATTTCAGCCTATTTGTATCATTTTAGAAAAGTGACATTTTATTTCCTAGTTTAGTGTATTTTTGAGGCGTGGTGGTAGTGGATAGCGTTGTAGCACAAGATAACCTTTTTACAGAAGCCCTGCTTCTTCCAAAGGTCAAATGTGAAGAAATGGCGACATTCAGAGAGAAAGTACCTCTAATTCACAGTTGCTGATGCTCAGGAGAAAACAGAGTATGTTGTGGCCCCGGTCTTGCATCTCTCGCCCCTGCCAGGGGCTCAGATTCTTATCTCTTGTACTCCTTTACCCAATTTTTGTTATTTTTCTTTGAGAGGCTAAGTCTAAAGAGTTCACAGGGCAAAAACATGCCTTTCCTTAGATAATCTTCAACAGAGATTTGTGACAGAAGGCAACGTTTATGGCCAACAGAAACCTTTGGCAAGTCCCTTCCCTTGCTATCATCAAGAAAATTGAAAAGATTGGAGAGGTGATCTCTGAAATCTCGGCTTAACCCATGATCAACATTGGCAGTCCCCCGCCCCTACGCCGTTATGTTTATGGTAAAGCATTCAAACCAGACCGAAGGGTGGAGTACACTCAACTCTTCCCTTTTCACCAGAAGCAACCCTTAGTATATAGTTCATGTATTTTTCCAGCTATTTTGTATGCCGAAACATTAACTCCTTTAAACATACAAACGGGAGCGTTTCCATCTCACGCGTCTTGGGGAATCTCTGGAACTTTTTTTTTTTTTTAAAAAAGAGTTTGTTTTTAATGTTCATTGATTTTTGAGGAAGACAGAGCTCGAGCAGGGAGGAGCAGAGAGAGAGATACAGAATCCGAAACAGGTCCTAAGCTCTGAGCTGTCGGGGGCTCAAACTCACTACTGCGCAATGGTGACCAGAGCCGAAGTCTTGAGGCTTAACCTACTCAGAGACCCAGGTGCACCTTTTGAGAACTTTTTTAAGCGCTCTCTTCTGGGCCTGATTCTCCAGAAGTCAGAGCCTCATTTGCAGACACTACTTTAGACCGTCGTCGCTTTTAGTCTCATCGTCTCTTACTCCGGTGCGGTCCCGGCTGCCACGGCAACACACACTTAACCGCTTTCGCTTTGTGGGCGGCCCCTTTCCGAGGCACTTGACACTTTCCTCAGACCGCCTTCCAATCCCGAGCGCGGGGAGTTCGCGGTAGTACCGTGACTCATTTCCGCCTCGCAAGGCAATTGGCTCAAGAGTCCTTCCCTCGGGTTTGAGCCGACAGCTCGCGCCAAAACCGACGCGCAGTGATGACGACAACGGGCCGCGGCGGCCACGACTGGGAGACTAGGAAGGCTTCCGGGGCCGGCCTGGCCGCTTAGAGCTGCTGTCATGGCGGCCGCGCTGTGGGGCTTCTTTTTCGTCCTTCTGCTGTTGCTTTCAGGGGATGCCCAGAGCTCGGAGCTGCCTGGGGCTACTGCCGATGGGTCAGGAGGGATTGGGGCCGGCATAGGAGATCGCTTCAAGATTGAGGGACGTGCGGTTGTTCCAGGGGTGAAGCCCCAGGATTGGATCTCGGCGGCCCGAGTGCTGGTAGACGGAGAAGAGCACGTCGGGTTCCTTAAGTGAGCATCCCGTGGGCAGCGGGAAAGAGGTTGGCGTGGAAGCCCGAAGGGAATTCCCTCTAGGAGAGCCAGGTGTCAAGAGCTGACGACGTCTCTGTCGGAGCGTGAAGGGGCGGGCGCCGATAGCGGTCTGTGCCGGGAGACCTTGCGGGGGCAGGGCAGCCCGACGCTTTCCCCTTTTCCCCGCTCACTCCACTCTCTGGACCTAGGAAATGAGGCAGGTGCTTGTCCCAGGGCCAGCGCAGTGGGGTCAGTTTTTTTCAATTCTATTTTTGCCTTATACGGAGTCGACCACTCCTGGGCTCTGGGGACAGGTGGGCTCTTTATACCTACCTCTCATGCTAAATTCTTTCCTTTGCATTTCATCTGGCTTCCCTAGAATCTGGCCTTTTTTTTTTTTTTTTTTGCATTCATTTCAGCCTTTCGGCAGCTTGATGTGTAGAAAGATGCTAAAAGCAAGGGGGAATTCTCAAAGCCCAAAGGGACTTCTATGATGGCATAGACTGGGAGGCTAACGTTGCCTCTTCTCAAATTAATGGGCCCTGAAGTCCCTAATCAAAGCACCGTTTTTTTTTTTTTTTTTTGCCTGGAGGTGGGATTGTTGTTCTTTTTTTACAGTTGAATTCATCGAGGGATTTGCAACATAACTGCTGGCATTTATGTCAGACTGAGGTTTCTCTACATTTGCTTATATGCTTCTGTCTTTTCTAGCTATTAGCAGAAATAGGATTTCAGCCTGTTGAAAGGACCTGGTGAATTTATTAGCACTCCAGTTTTGCAGTGGCCTGCTTTTCACATGTTTAGGCACAAATGTGATGTTTTAAATCTTTCAGTCGCTGCTTGGGAGGTAAAACTACAAACTGAAAGAAAATATTTAGGAAAGGAAGTGTTTCTCTGATAGGTTTGACCACCAGCAAATGGTGTTTGAAACCCAGACAACTTAAATGTGGACACTTCTAAATCTGATTTGCAAATACTCAGATCATCCAGGTGCTGATGAATGAGAATTTGAGTCTCAGATTAATAGATAATGACAAGAAGCTGACGACCAATATTTTGATGCCGTTTGTCTTTCCGAATCTGATGTGGGAGCATTCTTTAGCGTTGGCCCTAAGTAATGATGTTTTAATGAAAAAACTCCCATTAAGCCTTGAAAAATTAGCCTAAATTGACCATTTGGCTTCTCTTTTCTGCAGTATATAATTACTTTTAAAAACATTTTATTTGGGGCCCCTGAGTGGCACAGTCAGTTAAGCATCTGACTTCGGCGGCTCAGTTCATGATCTCACAGCTCTTGACTGAGAGCCCCCATCCAGCTCTGTGCTGACAGCTCAGAGCCTGGAGCCTGCTTCAGATTCTGTGTCTCCCTCTATCTCTGCCCCTCCCCTGCTCACACACACTCTCTCTCTTTCTTTCAAAAATAATTAAACATAAAAATTATAAAAAACATTTTTATTGGGGCACCTGGCTGGCTTAGTTGGTTGAACAGCCGACTTCGGCTCAGGTTATGATCTCACAGTTTGTGAATTTGAGCCCCACATTGGGCCTGCTACTAACAGCTTCAAGCTTGGAGCCTGCTTCGGATTCTGTGTCTACCTCTCTCTTGCCCCAACCCCACTTATGCTCTGTCTTTCTTTCAAAAATAAATAAACATTAAAAAATTATAAAAATTATTTTATTTTAAAATAATGTATAAGCTGGGGCCCCTGGGTAGCTTAATTGGTTAAACCTTGGACTCTTGATCTCACCTCAGGTCTTGATCTCATGTTTGTTAGTTCAAGCCCGGCATTGGGCTTCACACTGGGCATGAAGCCTACTTAAAAAAACAAAAAAATTAAATATGTATAAGTGTTGTGTTTATTGAAGAAAACGTAACAAGTTAGGGGTAGCAAGCCTTAACATTTTGTTGTGTATTTTGCAGTCTTTTTGTAATCATATGACCTGTTTTTAATAGTAAAATATATAGTACTTTAACCTGTTTTTTTTTTTTTTTGCAGTTAATATTTTGTGAGCAACTTCTGATACCATTTCATGTTCTTCCATTTGTATGTAGAAAGCTTAAAAATTAATATGAGGAGCTTATGGTGGGAAAACTTGTTGGAAGAGGGATAGGTAATTTTTCTTGTATCTGTTATACATAACCTCCATGCAGTTTTGATTTACAGTATGTTTGTTGGAGGTGGATCTTGGCTAATGGAGATGAGAGGAGTTTCGTTTGAGGATGCTTCATGCCATTTCTTGCTTTCATCACTGTGCACATAAATCACAATTTATTTAGGCATCTCCTGTTGAGGGTCATTTAGGTAGTCTTCAATTTTTGACATAGTAAGATTATGCACGATACTTTTTTGGAACTTTTTATCGTGAAAAATTGCAGACATGCACTAAAATAAACAATAGTTTAGTGAATGCTTAGGTACCCATCGCAATCTATTATTCTTTTTTAATGTCTCCTCTGTACCTCATTTTTTTTTTCTGGAATATTTAAATATGACCCTAAAGATCATATTGTTTCACTTGAAAAAGCATAATTACGTGTCTCTGAAAGATAAGGGTTTGAAAAGCCCCCCACAATACCATTATTGATTTAATAAAGTAAGTAATACTGCTATAACTTCATCTAATGCCCAGTTCATTTATCTCAAAAATGCTTTTATGTATTCTTTAAATCAAGATCCAATAAGGCTTGCATATTGCAGAGTACATTTTTAAAACCAAGTTTTAAAATTTCATTATAAAATTTGTATAGTATCTTTCTAAAGTAAAATCTTTACCATAGGGTGAAAAATAGATATGCTTTCTCCTTTGGGCAGTTAGCTCTGCTGTTATTTGTATTGCACAGTCTTTAATTTTTTCTGGACCTAGAAAAATGTTTTGAAATATTGTTCACTGAGGGTCCCATGAAGAAGCAGAAGATACACTCAAATTACAATAATTCAGGGAAAGTCTCATGAAAGGATTAAACAGTATAGTCATGATATAGGGAAACAACCAGATTGTACAGTACTCTAGAGTTTACAACCTCAAGGCTATTGTCACCTCTAAGCTTGAAGGTTGTCGGGGAAGTAAAGTTTACTGGGACACAGAGGGGGAGAAAGGATTGTCTTGAGAGGAGCAGTGTCACTTGACAAAACAAGTCAGAGGTGGCCTCTCAGGGAGAAAGCTGGGGAAAAATACGCTAAGCTCATGTTCTTTCTTTCTTTCCTCCAGTCTGCAAAGAGAAGGGTGGAGAGTGGGTGTGAAGGGCAAATGGAAGACATTCAGCCCAGGAATAAGTGGACTTGAAGTTTATGTTTTTAAAAATGTTTGTTATTTGTTTTGAGAGAGAGTGGGGCAGGGGCAGGGAGAGAGAATCCCAAGCAGGTTCTGCACTGTCAGCACAGAGCTCCACATGAGGCTTGATCCCACAAACTGTGAAATCATGACCTGAGCCAAAATCAAGAGTTGGACACTTAACTGAGACACCCAAGCACTCTGCTGTCTACATTTCAACTCTGTTTTAGTTTAATGTGTATTTTGAAATAGCAAAGAATATGTTTTCCTTTTACATTCTAGTAAATACTGCTGATGTGGCAGAATCAATTTTTGCTTTAGCTGTGAGAGAGTCTAATGATTTAAGAAGCATTATTTAATATATCATACTGGGAATTCTCTGATAAGCCAATCCTTTTAGGATCATTTGTTTCCTAAAACAGAAACTTCTTTTTCCTCAGAATCAGTTTTCATTATCAAAACATTCATTTTGATCTATGAACCTGAAGTTATCAGGTCCTGATGGGATGGTTTTCTAAGTCTAAAAGGCTTAGAAGAAATCAGTAAAGAAAAGGCAGGTGGTTTTAAGGACATAACCATGTTAAAATTTTATATATCCACACAAAAGTAACCAAAGTAGATGGGAGCTATTTGTAACAAGTGGAGCAAATGCTGCTTAATACCCTATTTTTTGGAAAGACAACAAAATGCAAACAAAAACTTGAAAAACCATTTATTTTAAAAAATTCATTAATTTATTGTTTAATATCCAAGTAAGTTAGCATATAGTGCAACAATAATTTGGAATAGGAATTAAATTGGAATCAGGAGTAGATTCCTTAATGCCCCTTACCCATTTAGCCCAACCCCCTTCCCACAACCCCTCCAGCAACCTTCTGTTCTCTATATTTAAAAATCTTTTATGTTTTGTTCCCCTCCCCGTTTTTATATTATTTTTGCTTCCCTTCCCTTATGTTAATGTGTTTTGTCTCTTAAATTTATCATATGAATAAAGTCATAAGATATTTGTCTTTTTGTCACTAATTTTGCCTAGCATAATACCCTCTAGTTCATCCATGTAGTTGCAAATGGCAAGATTTCATTCTTTTTGATTGCCGAGTAATACTCCATCATCTTCTTTATCCATTCATCCATCAGTGGACATTTGGGCTCTTTCCATACTTTGGCTATTGTTGATAGTGCTGCTATAAGCATTGGGGAGCATGTGCCCCTTCAAAACAGCACACCTGTATCCCTTGGATAAATACTAGTAGTGCAATTGCTGGGTCATAGGGTAGTTCTATTTTTAACTTTTTGAGGAGCCTCAATAGAGTTTTCCAGAGTGGCTACATCAGTTTGCACTCCCACCAGCAGTGCAAAAGAGACCCTCTTTCTCTGCATCCTCACCAATATCTGTTATTGCCTGTGTTATTAATGTTAGCCACTCTGATGGGTGTGAGGTGGTATCTCATTGTGGTTTTGATTTGTAGTTCCCTGATAATGAGTAATGTTGAGCATTTTTTCATGTCAGTTGGTTATCTGGATGTCTTCTTTGGAGAAGTGTCTATTTGTGTCTTTTGCCCGTTTCTTCACTGGATTATTTGTTTTTGGGTGTTGAGTTTGATAAGTTCTTTATAGATTTTAGATACTAACCCTTTATCCGATGTGTTATCTGTAAATACCTTCTCCCATTCTGTTGGTTGCCTTTTAGTTTTGCTGATTGTTTCCTTCGCTGTGCAGAAGCTTTTTATTTTGATGAGATCCCAATAGTTCATTTTTGCATTTGTTTCCCTTGCCTCTGGGGACGGAGACGTGTTGAGTAAAGTTGCTGCGTGAATTGCTGCAGCTGAAGTCAGAGAAGTTTTTGCCTTCTTTGCTCTCTAGGATTTTGATGGCTTCATATCCTACGTTTAGGTCTTTCACCCATTTTGAGTTTATTTTTGTGTGCTTTAAGAAAGTGGTCCGGGTTCATTTTTTTCTGCATGTCGCTGTCCAGTTTTCCCAGCACCATTTGCTGAAGAGACTTGTCTTTATTGCAGTGGATATTCTTTTCTGCTTTGTCAAAGATTAGTTTGTACGTCCATTTCTGGGTTCTCTGTTCTGTTCCATTAATCTGAGTGTGTGTTTTTGTGCCAACTTTTAAGAAGTTGTGGCAAGGGATCAGCAAAATAGGAATGCTAATACTGTAGTAATAATGTAAATTGGTAATTTCCTTTGAATGAAGATACGGCTTCTGAATTGGAACTGTGTTCCTGTTATCACTGTCCCACAGAAGGAATTAGAAGTACTTTCTATGTCAGGATTCTCCACTCCTGTGAAATGCTCTGGGGTTTTTTCAGAACCCTGGCAGTGTGACTATGGAAGCTGAAGTGGGAGGACAGTTCTTGCCAGTTTTTGTTTTTGCTTTTTTGCTCATTGCTCTGAATGTCATTTTGAGGGGAGTTGATTTGGGAGTTAACATTATATAAAAGAAGGAAACACGCTATTGATCAGAAGTGTCTAAATATGATATTCATTTTTCCAGGACAGATGGGAGTTTTGTGGTTCATGATATACCTTCTGGATCTTATGTAGTAGAAGTTATATCTCCAGCTTACAGATTTGATCCTGTTCGAGTGGATATCACTTCAAAAGGAAAAATGAGGTAAGGGTCTCTGATGTAGTTTTAAAAAAATTTTCTTTTAATGTTTGTTTATTTTTGAGAGAGAGAGAGTGTGAGCAGGGGAGGGGCAGAGAGAGAGAGAGGGAGACACAGAGTCTGAAGCAGGCTCCAGGCTCTGAGCTGTCAGCACAGAGCCCGACGTGGGGCTTGAACCCATAAACTGTGAGATCAAAACCTGAGCAGAAGTTGGAGCTTAACTGACTGAGCCACCTGGGCACCCCTGATGTATTTTTTTTTTTAATTTTTAATTAATGCTTGTTTATTTTTGAGAGAGAGATAGAGACAAAGCATGAGCAGGAAGGGGCATAGAGTGAGGGAGACATAGAATCCGAAGCAGGATCCATGCTCCAAGTTGTCAGCACAGAGCCTGATGTGGAGCTTCATCTCACGAACCAAGAGATCATGACCTGAGCCAAAGTCAAACGCTTAACCAACTGAGCCACCCAAACCTCTGATGTAGTTTTTACTAAAGGATAGACTACTGAATACTTCCTATATTGCTTTTAGATTTTAGAGTTGAAAAATTTTCTCAATTACAAGTATTCCTTAAAACAATTAAAATATCCTTATATTGCTTTTAATTAAAAAATTTTCTCACTCTGTTCCCCCTAAAATATCCTTATATTGGTTTTTGTGGGGTTTTTTTGTTTTTGTTTTTTTGAGAGAGAGGGTGTCAGTGAGCAAGGGGCAGAGAGAGAGAGAATCCCATGAGGGGCAGACAGAGGGGTGGGGGAGAGAGAAAGAGGAAAGTGAAACTAACCCAGGGCTCTTCTTTTACCCGAAGTGGGGCTCCTGCTCACCCAAATCAAGGCTCTAGCTCACCAGAAGCAGAGCTTGTGCTCACTGGGAACGGGCTCCAGCTCACCTGATGTAGGATTTAACTCATGAAATCAAACTCACAAAGCATGAGATCATGACCCGAGCTGAAGTCAGATGCTTAACAACCGAACCACCCAGGCGCCCTCCTTATATTGTTTTAGTGTGCACATTGGTAATATTATAAAGTTAAACTTCTTCTTTTTCTGCTTTAAAATTTATTTTAAAACTTCTTTATGTGATTATATAGAAAAGAGGCAACATCACCTACTATGAGAGCAAAAGCCCTGTGAAGGTTATAATTGAAATGGGATTCCTAAAGTGAGAAATAATTTAACTTTTCTAAATTAGAAATATTAATCGTCCCCTGTTTTTCATTGGGATATTTTCATAATACCTCTTAATACCTATGTAATAGTTGTATTGATCTAGAAATTTCTACAGTTCTTCCTTTCTGAAATATTTAGTGTGCAATGGGAATTTGGTATTGTTTGAAAAAAACAATAGATTGTATTGTGTATTTATCTCTGAGTGAGGATCATGATAAGAAGAGAAAAAAAAAAAAGCACAGTATCAGAGGCTGGCAGACTAGGAAAAAGTTTCAGAATTTCTAAGGGGATGAACATATGCTTTGAAGTTGAGGAGAAAAGAATGCTGGAAAAATTCAGGCTGTGTGTGGAATACCACAAACCCATAAGCAGATGGAATCTGTTGTATAGATGTCCACAGTGTTCAGATTCCTTTTGTTATAACCCCAGTTTATTTGTTTGTTTTTATTATCCCATGCCAGTAGTTGTCTCTTTGGCCTAATAACCAGGAAATATATGAAACAATTTTATTTATTTGTTTTTTTTTTCTAGCTTTATTGAGGTATGATGGCAAATATGAAAGAAGTTTGAGTGGTTATGTCTCTTCTTTGAATTAGAACAAAGTAACTATGTTGCTGTAATAAAGCATAGGTCTGGCAAAAGCAAAAATAATTTTGGGGTTCGAGGAACTTTATTTAATTTATTTAATTTATTTTTTATTTTGAGGAGCTCTATTTTATTACTGACCCTTTTGGTATGTTCCAAAAATATTTAGGTTGATTTGTAGAGACCCCTCATTGAGCTGACATAATAGAGATATGTTTAGTTAGTACCATAATATTTATGTTTGCATTAGTGTTTATGCCTAAAATGTTTTTCTTCTTTGCCTTTTTTTTTTTTTTTTTTTGGACATTGAAAGTTTTAAAAGTATAATATGTAACTATGCTATAGTTCAAATAGAGTGAGCCCACACGTAGGACTCTCTCATCCCTTATATCAGCTGCATATTAGTCCACTGAGGCTGGCACCCATTGATGGGCAGGTGGGGTTTTCTTTCTCCTCTTTTAACATGTGTGGTGAACAGAGATGACTATTTGGTAGTAATTTAAATTCTTGACATTATCATGAAACTATTATTATGCCACTAAAAATACTTTCTAGAGAAACAAATTACTTTACCCCTGTATTTTTGAAGTTACATTGTTGTCTTAGAATAGTCTAGTATGTCCAAATTCTAATTGTATTTCTTGCTGTTGGCTATTTAGAGCAATAGTGAAGCTTGAATTGAGAGTAATGTCTTGTAAATATGTTTATAAATATTTTTTGATAGAATAATTGAATTGTTTCAGAGTAGATGAATTTCATACCTTCATAAGGTATCAAATTTCTCATGTCTTCTTAACGGCATAACAATTTTTAAGAAAATATGTAGGTAAAATTCTAATATGTTAAATTTAAACTTTAAGGACTTATGACTTTTTATTATTTATGTTTTAGAATTGGAAGCTTGAAGATGGGTGGGTGTGTTGATTACACTATACTTATATACACATTTAACAGGTTTATTTTTTATTTTTTATTTTTTTAATTTTTGAGACAGAGAGAGACAGAGCACGAGTTGGGAAGAGGCAGAAAGAAAGGGAGACAGAATCTGAAACAGGCTCCAGGCTCTGAGCTGTCAGCACAGAACCCGATGTGGGGCTCGAATCCACAAACTGTGTGATCATGACCTGAGCCAAAGTCAAATCCTTAACTGACTGAGCCACCCAGGCGCCCCCACATTTAACAGTTTTTTAAAATATTGAAAATACTAAATACTGGAGGAAATGAGTGTTGTTAAAAGGGGATACTTATCTGTTAAAACCTATAATTTATTAACTTTTGGTCTGAATTTTGCATAAAGTAGTCTAATCAAATAGAACTATTTTTCTATGTATAAAGTTTTATTCCTTTTTTGCTTTGGGTAAAGAGTACTTGCTGCTTTAGCATTTAAGGACTGGTTGCAGCAGTGGGATTCATATTCTCAGTTCCATTCCTGATAGTTGGATGCCTGAAGCATAGGTAAAAAAACAAGGCCTTTACATTTTAATAATTGGGGGTGGAACAGTATAGAGAACAGAGTGGGATTCATAGAAGATCCTCATATTCTTGAGCAGTATTTTGTAAACATGCAGGGTAATATGACAAACATCTCCTTTTAAATGTATAGCTCTCAAAAGAGTAAGGGAAATCCTTCGGGGACAAACTGTAAACCACTTTCCTACCTGGGGGTTTTGACATTCTAACCAAAATGCTTAGATTTTATTAGCAGTATGTAGGTAAGAGGTAAGCTTTAGGCTTGCTTTGGGCCAGAATTAGATCTAAGATTTGATTCCCCCTTTGACTTTTTGCACTAAAATCCAAAAGACTAGTCTTCCAACCTGGCCCTGGCCTTTTGTGGGGGAAAATTTCTCCTGAAATTTGATAGCCACAGTCCTACCCTCAGTGAAATTTTGGGTGTGAACTTATTACTTCCTGCATGATCAAGAAACTTTCAAACTGTGCAGTTAACAAAATCATTCTTGGTCATAATCCTGGACTCCTGGCAGAGACAAATGCATAACCTCTCTGCAGGGGGATACTCTCTATTCAGGCCCACACATAAATAAAGTTAATCAAATACCCAAGAAAACCATGTACATTGAGTCAGCAGATGAATTAAATCTATAAGAACCTTATGTTATAGAATTATTGGATATGGACTATGAAGTAGTTTAAAGTATATTTAAAATGCTTAAATAAATAAAAGATCTATTGTCATAAGAGTAAGATACTACAAAAATACAGCAAGGACATTTGAAAAAAGAATAAAATAGAATTTCTACAATAAATAACAGGCTTTGGAATACAAAATTCAATGCATATGTTAAAACAACTGAACAAAGGTTTGATGAACTGGAAGACAGATAGGAAAAAACTTATCCAGAATACAGTACACATAAAGGAATGGGCACAATGAAAGAATTTAACAAGATGCAGAGTAAAGAATGAAAAGGTCTAGAGGTCTAAGGTGGTTCAGTCAGTTGAGCATCCAACTTTGGCTCAGGTCATGATCTTGCGGTTCATGAGTTCGAGCCCCACATCGGGCTCACTGCTGTCAGCCTGTCGCACAGAGCCCTCTTTGGATCTTCTGTCCCTCTCTCTCTGCCCCTTCTCCTCTTGTGATCTGCCAAAAATTGAAAGAAAGAGAAAAGGAGAGAGAGAAAGATCTAACTGAAATGAGAGAGAAAAAGCGAAGCAGTTTTCAAAAAGTAAACTGGAACATGTATGAACATGGTTGAGAGTTTTGATTAAAATTAGTGGTGTCTCAAGTGAAGATGTAGTGTTACCTATGGCACTAAATTTTTCCTGCAAAATTTTAGACTTAAAAATTGGGTGTGCTCATTCATGCATATCTCAGACAGCCAAAGAAATAAAAGTAGCATTTTTGTATGTTTGTAACAAAATTAATTTATTATTAAATATAATGAAAGAGCTTTTAGAGTTAGAAGAATTCTAAAAGAGCTTTTGATATAACCAGAAGAGAACTTGTCTAACCCCAAAGGCCTCGGTAATAACAGAGCTATGGCTAGAAACTAAGTCTCTTGATTCCAAGTTTAGTGTTCTTCTCTACATTTTGCTAAATATTTAAAAATACAGATAACTACTTTGATCCAATTTTTAAGATAAAAAGTTTAGATGCCAAAGCATTTTGGAAAAAGCTAAAGGTAACTATAAGGCATTGCTAATATATTATAAACAGTTCTTTTAACTAGTAATGTTTTTGATAAAATTACTGATGCTTTTTTCACGTTGCTTTATCAGAGCAAGATATGTGAATTACATCAAAACATCAGAAGTGGTCAGACTGCCCTATCCTCTCCAAATGAAATCTTCAGGCCCACCTTCTTACTTTATTAAAAGGGAATCATGGGGATGGACAGACTTTCTAATGAACCCAATGGTATGTATCAGGCTACAATTAAGTATCTTTACAAATCTCTAATTTGAATCCAGGCAGTTGAAAATTTCTAGCCCCTGTGAGAAAGAAAGGTTAGGTCATATTCTTAGATGAAAGGATAGTTGTGAATAGTTTATTGGTTTCAGAAAAATAGTAGCCTTGGGAATACTAATGAAGAGAATATAGTGAAAATTGCACAGTAGATTTGACATTGAAATGTGCAACAGAAATGGATAAATATTTATGATGAAATGTTTTAAAATTCAAATGGAATAAGAATATGTGGTAAGTCCCATGGAGTTAGCAGTCTCATCCTTCATACTTCCTGCATATGAGTGTGGCATCATTTATTAATCAGCTCCTATTGATGGCTTGGATAAGGGTTTTTCTTTTTTTCTCATGTGTCGTAAACAGAAGTTCTTCTGTGGTGATTTAAATATCTGGTATGAAAATGATGTTAGGGTATCCATTCATAATGAACCAAAAATAGAAGTTGAATTATTATCTTATAATTGTCGTAAGTGGTGATCATATTCCTTGCTGATAGCTATTTAGATCACAAACAGGAACATTTGGGGACTGTACATTTTTTGAGAGGAATAAATAGTGCCTAAAATCTGCTCTCAGGTGTAGTGAAGCAGGAGGGTGGAGTAGATAGGAGAAACCAGCAGTGAGACTCCAAAGTTTATTGAGAAATAGTTCTCATTTCTGAAATTCATGAAAACATACACAGTGTTAGAAGCTTCTAGGTCATTTTTCAAAGCTGATATGTTATAGTAGTCACCTAGTACTATATTGCAGGCTCGAGAGGATGCACATTAGAGGGGCAATATAGTATTTTCTTCAAGAACCATAAAGTCATCTGGAAAGAGCCCAGCTGGCTGTCAGCATCGCTATTCCCAATGGCAGATTGAAGAAAGTGAATAGATAGTTACATTTGCAAGCTCTTTGTGTTAAATAAAACTGTTAACTCTGCAAAATGATCCATAGCACAGATATAAAGTGTCTATAACGTCTAAATCCACGTAGGTAAGGCTCTTCCCTACAGTAGTCAGAGGTTGGGGAGTGCCTGTATCAAATGGGCTAGGTGAGTAGAATTGAGGTAGTGCTGCTAGTTTTATTCTGTGTATAACATTTGAATCTTTAATTTCATCATGAGTTGTTAAATGCAGATTTTATTCTGCTGGTAAGTGGGAAAAACATTTTCTGGATTTTTTTTTTCTTCCATAGGTTATGATGATGGTTCTTCCATTACTGATATTTGTGCTCCTGCCCAAAGTGGTCAACACAAGTGATCCTGACATGAGACGGGTAAGGTGACTGCCCCCGCTGTGAATTTTTTTCTTTTTTAATGTTTTATTTATTTCTAGGAGAGAGAGAGACAGCGTGAGCAGGGGAGGGTCAGAGAAAGAGGGAGTCACAGACTGAAACAGGCTCCAGGCTCTGAGCTGGCAGTCAGCACAGAGCCCGACGTGGGGCTCGAACCCACGAACCGCGAGATCAGGACCTAAGCGAAAGTCGGACGCTTAACCGACTAAGCCACCCAGGCGCCCCCCGCTGTGAATTTTTGAACCATATTCTGATGCCTGAATCATTCATTGTGGCTGAATGGCTTGGGCTTTTTCAGCTTTATCCTAATTCCCAAGCCAAATTCATTCAGAGGTTGTGTTAATACAAAATCATGTTCCTGGCATTTAGCTAGTTGTTTCCATAGGACTTGATAAATTCAGTTGGTTCTGCCTGATAAAAGCCTAGATCTCTTCATATAGCTTAAACACTGCTTAGTACTGCTCCCTTTGTGCCTCACTTGTTAAATGATTGAAATGCATAATTATCCTGGCAGCCCAATCCAAATAGTTTGCAAAATGATAGCTTCTTACAATTTACCTTTACTTTATAAAACTATTCCGAGTACACATTTAGTTTATGTGTTCAGATACACACGCACACAAATTTGGATAACCAAGGGAAGAAAATAGAATAGTGGCTTCCAGACTCTTTTACCCCAAAATTATACTGGTTTGGCAGTGGGCAAAGGAGTTGCCAAATAAGATGCTTCAAATTTAGTGCCACTGCTTTGTCTCTCTGAAATATTGGCTTTTGTGCAATCTTCAGAATTTTTTTAAACCATTATTTTTCTTCCACGTGGGAACAATCAACAAATACCTCCTGAATTCCAAGTTTTTCTATTGGATGTAATATATTGGTGTGTTGACCCCTTAGTCATTGTTCAATGCACATTTATTTATTTATTTTTTTTTTAATTTTTTTTTAATGTTTTATTTATTTCTAGGAGAGAGAGAGAGGGAGAGACAGCGTGAGCAGGGGAGGGTCAGAGAGAGAGTCACAGACTCTGAAACAGGCTCCAGGCTCTGAGCTGGCAGTCAGCACACAGCCCGACGCGGGGCTCGAACCCACAAACCGCGAGATCATGACCTGAGCGAAAGTCGGACGCTTAACCGACTAAGCCACCCGGGCGCCCCTCAATGCACATTTATTAATCACTGTCTAGGTTATGGATACTGGGGATATAAAAATGAATTGTATATTGTCCCTGTTGTCAACGAGCTCAGATTCCAGCTAGGTGTAGGAAACAGCATGGATTTATATAATACTCTTTCTTGCCGTCCTAGGATTGTGGGTGTATGGGTGAGAGAGTGTTGGATTTTAAATGGGAAAATAAGATATACGTACAATAAATAAAAATGGTGCTGTGGTAGTAGGTGATTAAGTTCTGTAGAAAGCAAGGCATTTATTCCAAGCCAGAATAGCAAAAAGAGCTTCATGATTAAAGAAACTTTTATGATATTTGGAATGTTTTATTGCCAAATTTGACATCTTTGCTTCAGTGTTGGTCAGAAAGTTTATAGCCCATGTAATCCTTATATCTGTTAAGCCAGGTAACTCTGTGGCATCAACAGAAGGAAACATTAGGGGGCACACTGGATTAAAAGTTCATTCCTTACAAAGTGCTTTGCACATAGTAAGCAGTATAAAAAGTTCTTTTTTCAATAGCTTCAGAATTGAACAGATTAAAACATAGATTTGAGGATATATTTTTGCAGGATCTCAAGACTTGTTAACATATGTTTGATTATTAGGACGTGTTAACTTTTTTTCAGAGGGAGCATGTTAGCATTTTTGATTTATGCTTATGTTTCTTTTCCTGTCCATATCTGGAAAAGCTCATTCTCTTTGAGAGCCCATGTATAAATTCTACCTTTGGAGAGAAAGCCTAAGCTAATATCCAAGTGGTATTCAACTTTAAATGATAGCTAATATAGTATTTGCTATTTTTTCCATGTGTGAACTAATACTATTTTAAGTACATTTTTGGAATGTCATATAAAATTCAAATGTAGCATATATTAACATCAGTATTGTTGAAAGTAAAACAGTACTATGGATTGTTGGCTAAATAAACTTCAAACTAAAACAAAACCTCAAAATAAAAGTGCCAAATCCTTATGAGGTCCTGCCAGTGACTTGCTTGTAACATTTTTATTGCTTGCTTTAGATGCTGTGAAGGTCTTTTAGGCCATAAGAGTAGTCTTCATAGATTTACTACTAAGGGCCTTAAGAATTAAGTGTTGGAAATACTGCAGTTATTTTCCAAACTTTTCTAATAGCCTGTATATATAATTAAAGATTGGTATTCTTTTTTTAAAATGATTTTTTATTTATTTGAGAGAGAGAGAGTGTGAGCAGGGGAGGGACAGAGAAAATCCCAAGCAGGCTTCATGTTGTCAGCACAGAGCCCCCCGTGGGGCTCAAGCCCACAAACTGTGAGATCATGATCTGAGCTGAAATCACGAGTTGATCACTTAACTGACTGAAACACCCAGGCGCCCCTGATATTCTTATTTATATGCATCTAAAGAAAGCGTGAGGGGGCCCCTGGGTGGCTCAGTTGGTTAAGCGTCCGACTTCGGCTCAGGTCATGATATCACGGTTCGTGGGTTTGAGCCCCACGTCAGGCTCTGTGCTGACAGTCAGCTCAGAGCCTGGAACCTGTTTCAGATTCTGTGTCTCCCTCTCTCTGACCCTCCCCTGCTCACACTGTCTGTCTCTCTCTCTCTGAAATAAATAAAACATTAAAAAAAATTAAAAACAAAAGCTTGAGTTTAAGAAAACACTCATTTAGGGGCACCTGGGTGGCCCAGTTAGTTAAACGTCCAACTCTTGATTTCGGCTCAGGTCATGATCTCATGGTCATGAGATTGAGCCCCCTTAAGAGTTTCTCCCTCTGCCCCTCCCCTGATTGTGCCTACACTGTCTGTCTCTCAAAAAAGAAAAAGAAATTTAAAAAGGAAAGAAAACACCCATTAAAGCAGTAAAAACATATTTTAATCAGAAAAGATAAAATAAAGGGCATCTGGGTGGCTTGGTTGGTTGAGCATCCAACTCTTAATTTCGACTCAGATCATGATCATAGAGTCATAAGATTGAGCCCCATGTCAGGCTCAGTGTTGAGTGTGGAGCCTGCTTAAGATTCTCTCTGCCTTTGGGTTGCCTGGGTGGCTCAGTCAGTTAAGTGTCTGACTTCAGCTTAGGTCATGATCTCACAGTTTGTGAATTCAAGTCCCATGTCAGGCTCTGTGCTGACCGCTTGGAGCCTAGAGCCTGCTTCAGATTCTGTGTGTGTCTCTCTCTCTGCCCCTCCCCTGCTCATGCTCTGTCTCTCTCTCTCAAAAGTAAATAAACATTAAAAAAATTTTTTTTAAATTCTCTCTCTCTTTGCCCCCCTCCCCACCACATAGTCTCTCTCTCTCTCTAAAATTAAAAAAAAAAAAACCCAAAAAACATAAGATGACAGGAATATGATCACATATAATAAGAGAAAATACTGTATGAAAACATAAGCCAAATTGAACCCTAGGCAAGATTTATTGGATATTTATTAAAAGATCACAATGCTTAGTAGTATAAAGGAGGTATGAGATAGGGTTTCTGAATGGATACAGGAGTGCTGATTCAAAGGGACACATACACCCCAATGTTTATAGCAGTGCTATCAACAATAGCTAAATTATGGAAAGAGCCCAAAAGTCCATCAACTGATGAATGGACAAAGAATATGTGGGTTATAAACACAATGGAATACTACTCGGCAATGGAGTAAGAATGAAATCCTGCCATTTGCAGCAACATGGATGGAACTGGAGGGTATTATGCTAAGTGAAATAAGTCAGAGAAAGATAACGTGTTCACTCATATGTGCTACTTGAGAAACTTAACAGCAGACTATGGGAGAAGGAAATGGGGAAAAATAGTTTCAAACAGGGGGAAGGAGACAAACCATAAGAGACTTTTAAATACAGAGAACAAACTGAGGGTTGATTGGAGGGTATATGGGGGCGGGGAATGGGTGATGGGCACTGAGGAGGGCACTTGTTGGGATGAGCACTGGGTGTTGTATGTAAGTGAAGAATCCCAGGAGTCTACTCCCCAAGCCAAGAGCACACTATATACACTGTATGTTAGTTAACTGGACAATTAATTAGATCAAAAAGAAAAGAAAAGGAAAACATGGTTTCTGAAGTGCTATTGGGTATAACATTGCTGAGAACCAGTAGCTTCTACTTGTTCTATTCCTCTCTTTCCTTGATAGACGTGTTAGTTTTTAAATGACTTGAAGGATCCCAGTGCCTTTTATATTATTGTGCTTTGTATTCTTGCAGGAAATGGAGCAGTCAATGAATATGCTGAATTCCAACCATGAATTGCCTGATGTTTCTGAGTTCATGACAAGACTCTTCTCTTCAAAATCATCGGGCAAGTCTAGCAGCGGCAGCAGTAAAACAGGCAAAAGTGGGGCTGGCAAAAGGAGGTAGTTGGACAGTCCAGAGATAACATTTGCACAGACATGGCAACACTGGGTGACATCCAAGCCTTGAGGGAAAACCGTGAAGCAACTACTGTAAACTTGAGTCATCCTTAAAGTTGATCTCTTATAACTGTCCTGTCTGGTAATTCTGTAGCACGTGTTTTGTACTTGGTACATAAGAAAACCCAGGTTTCATCTTTTGTCTGTATGAGGTCAATATTGATGTCACTGAATTAATTACAGTGTCCTATAGAGAAGATGACATTAATAAATTATATGAAGTACTATACATTATGTATATTAAAATGTCTTAATCCAGAGGTAGAATTATCTTGTCATTTCTTCTTCACTCGATGTTTCTTTTATTCCGGACAGTTTTCTTCTTTCATTATATGAGATTTGAAATTGACCTTTCCTGTTTAAGAAGTGGTTGCTATTTTTAGAGCAGCATGCACCATTGTTGTTGTTGGGGTTTTTTTTGTTTTTATTTTTGTTTTTGTTTTTTTGTAGCCAGACCTTTGAAAATTATCAACCCTGCCTTGCATTTTAACATTTCCTGATGATGGAGGTAGAACCAAATTCTGATGTCGTTTTAATTGTTGTTATTACAGTTAGTTTTAGAGTATGGATATATGAATTAGAATAGATGTTACCAGTTTTCAAGTTTTTGTTACCATCATTGGGATCCACTGAGTGTCAGCTATGTGCTGTACTTTAAGGTGGGATTCAGAGCTGGAGAATATCCAGTGCCTGTCCTCCATAGAACTTATTACGGAAGGAGAAAGCACAAATAATACCAGGGAATGCATAGCAGGGGAAGGAAGTGCAGCAGTAGGAGAGCCTTCGCAGACTCAGGATGGAAAATTAACCTTAGAGCGCCATGTCGTAATGTTGGTAGTGTAGCACAGGTACCTTCTAAATCTCCATTGATTCTCAGAGTTATTGGAATATAAATATTATTTTCCAGTCAGGATTATCTCAAAAATGTTTTATGTCAATAAGTTATAAAAATTTCATGCCTTTTCTTTTGTTTTTTAATTAAAAAGGAACTCTGAGACTATTATAGTATTGCTCTGGTAAAGGTCTCCTATCCTCTTCTGTGATAAAGAACTCCCCTATTGCTTTCTTTAGGTTATTAAGTCAGCCAAAAGGACACACACACCAAAAAAAAGATTGATTCCAAACTCTTATTTACCCTTTTGTAGTAGGTACGACTGTTCATTTTGAAATGAGTTTCACAGGTTTTCTTTTAAAGACATAAGTTTTGATACAGGACATTTTATTAACTGATATAGTGTTTGTATTATTATATGCTAAAGTTACCAAACTGGTTAAGCTGTGAAGATTAAGGTGGATAAACTGGGTAATGGTAGAACTCGGTAGATCTTTGAAAATGGAGTCATTTATTGAAAATAACTAAAATATTAGAATGCTAGTTGAATGAAAGTTGCAATTTAAAGGAGACAGAATATAGTGAGAGTCATACTTGTGTGACTGGAAATCATCTTGAAAAATTTCAAAATTTTGATTGTCAAAATTTGCACATAGAATATCTAATAACCAGAAAATTAGAAAGAACTTTCAAGGAAATTATCATTTCATATCCTGATTAAGAAAGTTTGTGGTTATTTTACATAGATTCTAAAACCATCTGAATATAATATATATACATCCCTTATCATATTATAGAATATTATTGTATCAGTTATATATGAAAATCCTATCTTTGCATAGAACCTTCATCAAATGCTTATTGTGCTTACAGGTGCAGAAATCATTATATTTTATGAGACAATATTGGGTTCAGTGCAAAGAGACTGTTTAGCTGCTAACTTGTATTTTGTGACTTTGGGCAAGTCACTTCCCTCTTTGAACCATGTTTTATCTTGTTCATTATTGTATTTCCAGCATTGAGCATATATAGGCACACAATAAATGTTTTTTGAATGAATAAATTAATGGGCCTTCCTCATCTGTAATTGAGGGATTTGGATTAGACCTGTAAATTCCTTTTCAAGACCTAAAATTCCACTACAATTCTAACCTGGTCCTATTATTTCCTAGCCACAAAAACTATATATCAGTGCCAAGTTTTTCTTTTTTTTCCACTTTCTTTCTTTTTGCTGTTCTTTATTTGGAGGCAAAGTATTATTTAGGGCCTTTCTTGGATTCAGTTTACATATATCTCCTAAATAAAAGCTTTGTGTTTTAAAATTTTTCACATCTACTAAGGTAAACCTGAGTAGTGACTTTATGCAAAACAGATCTTTGTTCTCCCTTCTTACCAGGAAGTTCTGAGTGCCCAGAATGACTTCCAGGGAGAATCCATACCTCCTAAGTTTTCAAGCAGTGTTTTAAAGAGTCAAACCTCAGGACTCCCCCTGAGTCTGGTTAACATTTTGAAAAGATTCAGGATTTTACCTAACTTGCCCAGAGTAGCAAAGTATCTTATTTTTCTCTTATGATTCCTCTAATGGGAAGGAAGAACCATTGACTGTACTTTTCAGTAATTGGAAGGTTTTCAAGGTCCCGATGAGGAATGTCAATAATGTCATTTAAGTGGTCACTCAAACTTTCAGGAAGTGCTCAAGAACTCTATTGAAAATATTTTTATTGAATATCTTAGAAAATTAATCCAAGTATTTTCATTTTTGTTTATTGCCTTCCAGGTTACATATAGACCTACTTTTGCATCTTTACAATTATTTATGTGCCATTTTGTATTTAAACCCAACAAAAATTCTCCTAAATACTAATCTCAGGGAATACAATAGAAACTAGTGGCAAAATCCTTTAGTTTAGTTCAAGAAGTATGTTGAGACAGGACCTAGTTGTATTGTGCTCTTCTTTTAGCATTGTATGTATGATGTCATCATTTAACATCAGGGTTTTTTTTGTTTGTTTGTTTTAGTTTGTAAGGTATGTGAGAATAAAGGAACTGTCTTAGAAAAGAAAACCCCTTCTCATATAGCCTCAAATATTAGCTTATCTCTTTTTTCTTTGTATCACAACTTTATTAAGGGAGCATAGGGGAACTGAAGCCATTCACAATAGCTACAGTCTAGGATTAAGCAAGCCTGAAAACAGAGAGGAGTAAATTAAGAAGGTCAAGTAGTAAATAAGAGGAATGAGGAGAGCCATAAAAATGAGCTGTGCACAGCATTTCCAATTGAGAACTTTTGAGAGGGTGTTTAATTCCACTAAAATTTAATTAGTAATTATTGAAGATTCATATGTGTTCCTCCATAGGGAGTTTTGAAATCAGGTTTTCCGTATATATGAATATAAGTAATTTACTTACTTTTAATTAGCTCCTACTACATATATTTGAGTATTTTAAAAACATTTCTAAGTAACTATTTTTTTCTGAAAATATTAGAAAATATTTCGAATTAAATGATCATGAAAATTTGGCATCCAGAGTAAGAAATGAAATCATTTAGTTTTGTTATGAGATGATCCGTAAAGGACCATGAGAAGATGTATAAGGAAAACTTCTTTGCAAAAACTGCTATCATGGAGTCTTGTGCGTTACACATTAAAAAAGGAGAAATACTGTTTTGCGCTCATCTCCGCAGGACTGGATGGACCTGCCTTCCCACCCCTAGCTGGTTGGACTGAAGGTGGGACTTGAGTCAATCAGTTGGGTGGTACTGGATCAGAGAAAGTAGTATGTTGACCCTGAGCCACAGGTAAGCAGAATCAACAGTGGAATCTATCAAAATAAGAACTCTGACCCACAAAGAGAATAGCAAATGCCCAGGTAGGAGATGATGGTGACCCCCAGGGAGCAATGGAGAGAGTACCTACTGGATCAACTTTCAGGTCCTTAGAGGCACACTTGGTCTTCTCACAGTGGATTCTGTGAAGGCCTCTCAAATCCCTTCCCTCACTGCGCTAACTCCCTACTTATCAACTATCCTGACTAGGTGAGTCCTGTGTGTAGGTTTATCCTCCGTAATGGGATGCTCAGAGAAGGTTGAGAGAAAAGCTGCCAGTGAGTAATACTCATATACGTCTGTACAAATGGTTCTTTCACCCTCATGACTATCAATTAGATCTAATTTTGGAAGTATGGAAGGGTTTGTAGTTTTTGCAGTTTGGTGAAGAGAAGGCTGAGGGGTTTTCAAGTGCCTGTTAATCCCTTTAAAGCCAATTCTAATCAGCTGTGTACCACTCCATGAGGTCTGAGGAAAAATCGCAGCAGAAGGGATTTGTTTGTTGTGAAGAATTTCTTGGCACAGTAAACAAAATTGTGAAATGCAAGTAACTATGAGATTTACTTTTCTTGGAGCTCTTAAAACATTGGGCAAAAAGTCACTTCTGAGGATGGCTTATATATACACCTACCTGACAGTTCCCTATCCCAAAAAGTGAATTATTTTTTCCCTAGAATATGAAGAATGGTGAGATCGCTATTTTAATGGAGGAGGACATGAGACATACCAGCAAAACTGGGCTGTGGAGAAGGGAGAGGAAAAACTGAAAGTAAGCAATTTCTTTCCTTTAATGTACATCTACATTAAAGGGGTTATGACATCTGGGTTGTCATCCACTTTGCACCTTGCAACTGGTTCTCCCCTGAGCAGTGGGTGCAGCCCACAGGAGTGCTCTCTCAGCAGCTGTGTTCGTGGCAGGTGGCCCTGCTTTTATGGGCATTGCTGATTTTTCTAGGAAGAGCATCTCACCCAGATTAGGCCGATGGCTGCTCCTTGGGAATTTGAAATTAAAACTGAGGGACTAGAGAAGAAATGGCAACATACAAACTCGCAAGGTGTTCATGGCTATGAATTCTCTCATGCAAACCACGCACACAAAAAGAGAAAACAGGTTCCAAAGAGAAAAAAATAGAAAGGGGCAGATGCACAGAGAGGAGCTGAAATGCAAGATGAATTCTGAGAACTGTACCTTTGTTTAAACCCTTTCCTGAGGTGCCTGTGTTCTTGCCCTCGGGTTCCATGGTGCGCTGCCGGATCTTATAATGTAGTGTTTCTGCGCTTTCTTGCTCCAGAAGCTGTACAGTAGGTTTTTGTCACTTGAATCCTGGTGTCCTTATTTACACACTTTTCCAGAACTGATAAAAGCATCTCCAGCCTGCTGAAAACCTTTCCTTTTCCCTCAGTCAGTACCAAATTGGCTGTGTTTCCTCCATGTCCGTCTTGAATGTATGGGTCCTGCTAATTATCAGGCCTTGGGAGAGTTACTTAACCTTTCTGAAGCTCAGTTTTATCTTGTGGAAAATAGATCAAAAGCTTCAACTGTAAAATGGGAGAAATAACTGCTTTATGAGTAGAATTTTTCAGAACACTTCACAGGTATTATTTGATATCCACACCGACCCTATGCGTAAGTACTCAATAAAAGTTTGTAATTACTAATATTTTCACATTTCAGATGAAGAAACAGAAGTTAAAGATTTCCCAGGCTCACCAACTGGTTCCCTGGAGTGAATCCTGCTATTTTCTCTAGGACTTCTCGCAAGCTAAACTAAAAAAACTGAACATTTCTGTACCCATAACCAACACATAGACATCTATTCCAACTTGCCACCCTCTGCCCACCTCTATTGGCATCACCTAGGGACTTGCCTTTCTCCTTCCAAACACTTGTGAGAGAGAAGGGTGGTGTAGGCAAGAGAAATGGACTAACAAGAGAAAACAGTTCTTGTCCTAGTCTCTGGTATCTAGAGCTTCTGACACTGTGAACCTAAAGATCTTCCTAGAAGGCAAATCTTGGTGGTTACCCCTCTATTACAACCCTTCGTGGACTCTCCATGCATTTCAGGTAAACCCCCCAGCTACATTCCCACCAGACTCCCCTCTTGCACTTCCTGCATACATCTTAAGTTTTACCACAGTTCACCAGATGCTTTATACTCCCTTCTGAGCTGGGCCCTTTTCAAGTATTTCTTCCTTTCAACTCAATGCTCCACCCCTCTCCCATTCCCTCATCTCCCTTTTTACTACCTCTTACATCCTCTTCAGTACTTTGTGTGGAAATTGCCTTTGACAGAAATCTTCCAGATGCCCCCAAGGCTTAGATAAGAGCCTCTTTTCTGTCCCCTTTCCTGCCTGTGCTTAAGCCATTACAGCACTTCATATTATTGGGTTACCTTTTTACTTCTCTGTGTTTCCTCTCTGGATCCTAAGCTGCTCAGGCTGTTAAGGCATTAGTAATATAAGAGTCCTGTCCTCAAGGAAAAGTAGAAGGAATCTTAACTTCTCTTCTAAAATAATTCTGAGGTGGCCGCCACCTGCAGCAGAACCTAGCTTCAACTTGTATTGTTGGAATCACCACTCAAATCATTAGGCAAAGATAGAGATCAGAGACCTGTGGTGAATTAAGCTACTTCTCAGGGAACCAAAAGATGCGAGTCATGCCAGAAAAAAACTTCCCACAAAACCCAGGAACCTTGCCTTGCAACTATTTCCTATGTCAAGGTATGCAAAGCGTCTATACTAGTATATGTACCAAGGGTTATTGCGTGAGAGGACACAGTTAGGGGTAAAATAGCATCAACTCTGGTTTCAGAGCTTAAGAGTTTAATGAGAGAAATAGACCTTAATCAAAACACATACTGATGTGTGAAGAAAACCTTGATAGGTGCTCCAAGGAAAATCCAAGCTGCCAGAAAAGCTTATAACATGGGCACCTGGATGAGAGGGTGGAAGGCAAATGTAAGGCCACCTCCCTGAGAAAGTGACTTGTGAGGTAGGATGAAAGACTACATGGGAATTAAGTAGGCTGAGGCTGAGAAGAAGGGGGTTAAGAGTGAGGAGCTTCTTAGCCTGAGCTGAGGTGGTAGGGAGGTCGGTTCCTGAAGGAACTGAAAGAACAATGCAGATAAAGCACTTCCAGAGGAGAAGAGAGCACCTGGACACCTGGGTAGGCAGAGGCTGCCTGGAGGTGTCACAGGCCTGAATTTGCCTTATCTTCCCTTAGACATGCTTGCTCCTCTC